AAGGCGTGGAAATTGGCTTATATAGCTACCTGGAATGACATCATTTTGGTAAGCTAGGATCCGCACATCGACCCAAAAACTCGCACACTGACCCGCGTTCTGATCCGACTGGATCGCAGGTTTTTTTTTCCATTTTCATTTTATTTTTTGATTTTATTTTATTTTATTTTATTTCTAACTCATTTTTCTTTATTTTATTATTTTCTATTTTTTTAAAAAGGGAAGACAAGCAAAAAATTATAAAAAAAAAAAACTCTGCCATTGATATCTTTTTTGGAAAATATATTTCAAAAAAATATTTAAAAACATAAAAAAATGGAGAAAATTTTCTATTAAGTTATTTGGTAAATTATAAAAATGAGCAGGGCTTGGATAATTCAAAATCAAACTTGTATCATCCCTTGGATGGCTTTTTGGGGGTGCTACAACCTTCTCCATACGCAATCGACCTCCGAACCTAACCTCTGTTTTACAAATCAGCATCAATCAGGTGGCCAATCACACCTAATCAAAAAAGATTGGTGGCAACTCCTTTCCATTCTAAGTCTAGCGATAGATCCACAGATCTATACGTTATGACAGTGATCATTTGGCCTTAGAAACAAGGCAATCAAAATGTTTACTCCAATCCCATATTTCCTTTAAAAAGCTCACTAAGATAGACAAATATATTTAAACTCACATTTAAACTTATTAAATTATTTGGAAAAGTATAATATCACAATATGAAAGTGTCCAACTAGTTTTTATGCTCACAAATGCTCAAAAAACAAGATTTGATCTTTTAAGCTCCAAAATCCTTTTAAACTTGCTTATATCATTATGAAAGATAAAAACAATTGCAAGTTAATCAAGTTTCTTTGTTTGAATAAGTTTAAATCATTAAACTCGAGATATTCAAATTCATTTTTCATTAAAAAAATTGCTAAAACAAAATTTCATATTTTAAAGCTTAACTTTTAGAAAAATTTCAAAGCAAAATATAAAAATTCAAAATCATTAAGCTTTGTATACTCCCTTTAAGTTTGTGCATAAATATAAAAATAATCAAGCACTAGAATCAAATACATCAAACATGTCAAATATAATTCAAGCATTCAATTTCACTAAACATATCAACAATAGCAATGCTTATACACATAAGCTCCTTGATATTACACATAAATATACTTCAAGAAATTAACCAACAAAATCAATTTCAACAATCATCATAATCATACAATTGAGAGCAATAATAAATCCATACTCAATTTAAGTTCATATTTTATCAAGATTATGCAACATATATCACATCAAATCAAATTTACATAACCAAGATATCTTAATAGGCAACCAAATTCAAATTCACTTAAAATAATTATTAGGTTTAGATATTACCCATCTCCATTGTGTGTCCAGAGTTTTAATCTTCAATCTCATATTGTAGCTCTTTGCTCAAGCACACCAACAAGAGATATTCTTATTTGATTTTTGGTGACAAAATTGCTTTGAGTCCTTGAGAGTTAGTGACCAAGTCTCTAGTTTTTTTTGTAACCCATACTTGCCAAATTCTAAATGAAAATTTTATTTTTATAGGACAAGTATATATAGTATAACCATGAAAATTATAATAATTGCATTTTGTCATTTAACAATTTTTTAAAAACTTTGTTTTTCATTTATCAAATTTTCAAACTTTTTTTTCAAATCAAGATTTTTCTCTTCCAAAATTTCATTTCTATTTTGAAAAGCTTCAAAATTTATTTTTAATTTATCATTTTGTTTTTTCCAAATCATTCTTTGCATTTATCAAAAATTCATTTTCAACATTTTAATTTTGAAATCATTTTCTTGTATTTCAATCTCATTTATTCAAATTTCACAACTAACTAATCAAAGGCATATTGCAATTCATCAAAAGTATATGAATTTGAATCAATTGAGTTAGAGATTACCTTAGGCTTTTCAAGAGCTATGAGATATGTTGCATTTTGGTTGAATTGTTGTCTTTCATGTAATTCATCAACTTCTCCTATATCTCATTAGAGGTTAAGCACTTTGAGACAGAATTGAAATTGTAGGAGTCCAAAGCTCTATAGAGGATACACTTGGCCTTGGCATCATCTAGTATTTGCTTCATGTAGTTTGCATCTTTTGAAGGAGTTTCAAGCCCTCTTTTTATCACATTCTATGTTCTAAAATCTAAGGCCATGATGAATATCTTTGTCCTTATTTTCTATTTGTAAAATTTAAATTTATCAATCATGAGAGCTTTAAGAACCTCTTCACTATCTTAGAAAATATGTTGAGCCATAAGATCTTTTCTTAAGGTCGTTAGACCTATAAAAGAGATCAAAGCTCTTATACAAATTGTTAGCTTTTCAATGTAGATAAGCAATTCAAGAGAGATGAATTAGATTTTTTTCCAAATTTCTCCTAAAAATAGCTTTCAATATAATTGAATAGAAAATTAAAAACAATATGAAAATATGATGCAATTAACGATAATTAAAGAACTTTGAAGCAAATATGAACAATAATGAAAGTCAAGAGTGTAGGGATAGAGAAATTAAATATAAGATTTATAAAGGTTCGGTCTTTCTCCAAATACACCTACATCTTCTCTCTGTTAGTTATCCTCACCAAACTTTAATCCATTAATTGAATGAAATTACAAACCTTATCTTTTTCAAGGCTTAAAATAACAACTTCTACCGTTAGTAGTAATCTTTTCAATCTTACTACAAAGCTCTCAAGATAATACCTCACCTCTTGCTCTCTAACCCCCTTTGTAAATCAAAGGAATTTGCAAAACAACCTCTAAAAGGTAAGTGTTTGCTAAGTTTAAGTATAAGAATGAATGAATGAATGAATGACAAAAATAGCTTGGATATAACAAATACAAAATGTATAAAATTTAAGCTCTAAAAACTCTTGAATTTTTAAAAGAATGGAAGTAAGACTTGTTGGTGCTTGCTTCTATGTTTCATCAACCTTCTTGGTGTGTTGGAATACTCTATTTATAGAGAAACTTTGTTTAGAGCTATTAGGAATGCTTGGGAAATGAAAACACATGTATTTTTCATTTGAAAACTAGCCATTAGAGCTTTTCTAGGCATAAAGGATTGATTGGTTCTTGAATTTCACTTAAATTTGATCGTTACATCACACAAGATAGATTGGATACCTTAGGGGATTGATCAGGTAAGCCAAGTTTTGGATACAAAGTGTTTTTGTATGAATAGTGCCTTTAATAGTCTCCTGTTTTACACTTTACTCACTAATTTGATTATATATTGAGTTATATAACTCCAAATCAAGAACTATTTGAAGATTTAAAAACTAGACTTAAGAAATTTTCTATTCACATAAAGTTCATCATCTAATTCAATGTATAAAAATTATAATCAATTTTCAAAACTACCTATTGTGCAGTTTTTAGATAATTGCATAGTCTCTAGTAAAAATTAAAAATATTTTTTTAGAAAATTTGGATTGTGATTTTGTTTAATCCACTAGAAAGTAGACTCAAAGAGCTTTCAAACTATATAAAATTTAAATATTAAAACTATAAAAATTAATACAAAAAAATAAAACAAGTTCAATATTGAAAAACTTTGTTTTTACATAATAACTTTCTTAAATTAATCTATTTCTCAAAACTAATATTATCAAAATTGTATTGAGTCTAAAATAAATAAATTCACTTTAAAAACAATAATTGGACTTTCATTTAAGCTTAAATAAATAGTTTTTAAAATAGAATTAGTTTGAGAAATATAAAACAAAGAAAGGTTTGTTTACACTTTGAAAAATATATTATTTATTTAGTATAAAAATAATAAAACTTAAGAACATATAATAAATAAATCTTTTTTAAAATTTTAATCAAGTTTATTTAGCTTAATATTTTATTATTTTAAAATGAAGATCAATTTAAATATAATAGAGAAGATAACATATGAAATGAGTGAAAATTTTCAAAATATGATAATATTAAAATTTAATATCACTTTAGAGGTAACGATCTACCAAAGGATCTAAATTTTTTGAAAGTTTTTATTAGTTATTTTAAACAATTTTTTGCTACTTTTAAGTTTTTGGCATAATATCCAAATAAACTGTTAGAGCTTTGCTCCAAAATGCAAACAAATCATTGAATTTTTATTGCATGAAATTAAAGCTACAAACTTTTATTTCATTATAATTATACTCATTAAATCTTAAAAGTTGATGAATACTATTGTCCACTTGACATTATTTTTAAAATAGCATTACCTCAAATATTTGTCATTTAACTTGTCCAAATAATTTTAAGTATTTTTTACAAATTAAATCATTCAAGTAAAAAAAAATTTAACAAAAAATTTAATGTTTTATACTATTAAGGACCTAATTTCAATAAAATAAAACTTTATAATGTTAGATTCATGCAATAGAATATCATAAACTTATTTTTAGTTTTTAGTAAAGTTCGAAGATTTATTTAGATATTATCTCTAAATTTTTTATAGCAAGAAGTAAATTTTTCGACACATTAAAATTAGAAGTCAAAAATACCTTTTTTCTAACCTCTTTCAAAAGAAGAAAAGATTTTCAAATTTATTTGACTAGAAAATATTTGAATTTCATGTTTTTTTTTTTTGTTCTAAATTTCAATATGAATATTTTTTAATAGGAATGAATTTATGTGAGAATTTTGATGTCAATAAAAATAGGTTCTTATTATTAGTTAGAATAGTTAGAAAGTGAGATGTCATTATGCATCTATATCTATCTATCTATCTATATATATATATATATATATGTATGTATATATATATGTATGTATATATATATATACACCTATTTTCTCCTACCCTTTTTTTAATTATCAACATTCACTCACTTTCCTACTCTGCAGCCGTCTGCTGCTCATCCAGCAGGGTTCAAGTTTCCGAAGTTATAGTTTTATATCAACGTGTAGTTAATTTAGTTAAAGCCGTTAGTGTTGTAGGAATCTTAAAACTCATAAATAATGGATTTAAAATTTTTTTTGTTCATTTTTTGGATAAAATGAGTGTTAAAATTATGAAAAATGCTCCAAGAATCTAAGATTAATCATACATATGAACAAGACTTGCTCAGCATTAAATAAATGAAACATTCTATGTACCACATATTTGAACCTAAATGAGTCTAGTCTATCAACAGTTTTCTCCCATCCGAGGCAAGGCAATCAAGATCACATAAAGTTAAAGATGTGATTTTGGAATGTTGCAGATATATATCCCCTCTAACCCTTCATTTGTTCTTGCCACATTTCTGAGTTTTCAGCCTTGATGATGCGATCAATATCTGCTCAATTCTTTACAGTTTCCTCCCTCCAACAAGAGGAGACTCATCATAGCCCTTATTGATCCTCTTGGTATACTTCCGGTGCCGCCTTTCTCTAGCGTACAACACCCAAAAGATCAAAGAAAACATTATCGAACCTGTAGCAGTTACCAAACCAATATAGACCCATTGACTGTATTTCCTCAGCCCTGGACAATGATTCTCAGTAATGTCTTTGAAAGTGTCTCGGATCACCGTGCAGTCTACTACACTAGCAAGAAAGGGGCCGTAATTGTACAATCCGAAGCTTACGTTAACAGCAGAACTCATCTGGTTGTAAATATCAGGGGTCAGGCGGCCTGCTGTGTTGCAAATACCAGCTGCTGAAACTTGACATACATATTTCTTCCATTCCTGCATGTATAACATAATAATAAATCAAGTCAAAATTTGCACACTTTTGAACCTGGGGCTTTAGCTCAAATTGTTCACCCACTTTCCTTCGGAGGTAGGTTTTAGCAAGGGTGGGGATCGCAAATTCCCCTTCCCCAATTTCTCTTAGGCCTCAGCTTCCTATGTGCAAAAAAAATTGGATAGTTTTTGAAGCTGCAAAACAGCTAAAGCTTCTAGATTTTTATTTTCCTCTTTTTTATACATAAGAGGCCTTAGGAATACGACAAAGAGTTGCACATGCTAAAATTCGAATCCTATACCTATTGAATGTCAACTATTAACATGATTACAAAACCAACTGAGGTAAAATCCAGATTAGATTTTTATTTACCTCTGTTGCATTGCTTAAGGCTACTTGACCATCACCGCAGCCTTGTTGAGTGTTAGCATTGGTGTATGGGTCACAAATGACAGGTACTAATGGACCAGATTGATTGTGATAAAGAGGTACAGCTTGTGACGGTAGGGTATCGTTGTTGGCTACAAGGACAATGTATTGGTTCAGTATACCGTTTAATCCGGTGGCTACTGATCTGCTTGCGTCCAACACATTTTGGCCAAATTCTCTGTCCCAACAAGGGAGAAGCTCCTTCATTGCTGAATTGGCCATGGGGTTTTGGACCCATTCGTTCATTGCAACGCATGTATCTGCCACTACGCTGAATTATGGTGAAAATATGGTTAGATTTAACAGAAAATGGATACCTAAAATTCCTTCGGCAATTAATCCTAAAAACTTAGTAATAATTATTAGAATTAGGTTAAAATTTACCCTTGCATATGAATTGTTTAGACTTACTTGTGGAAAACGAGAAATATGCCACACAAGATGAATGTGAGTGTGATAATAACCCACCCAATGACTACGAATCTGCAATTGTAGAATGTAAATTTTTAGTGAAAAGATGGAAAACAAAAAAAAAAAAAAAGCTATCATATAGCAAAGTCACTTACAAATAAACACAAGATTGCATGCCAAGAATCGAAAATACTGCAAACCATTAACAACAACAAGAAGAAGAGCAAGAATGTGAGGAAATAGATTAATAATTGGTTTATTAAATAGGAATGATAACCATCTAGTTTGGGGGAATGAAAAGGCTTACAGAATCCGAGAAATGCCAATAGGAGCAGAAAAACAGTAATAGTGATAAGAGCAATGTTCCTGCAAAGAAAGAGCAAAGCATTGACATTTTTTTATTATACAACGGCAAGCTATAGTTTAGGATAGGGAAAAGAATTGTAAATGTTAAGATTCGAACTTCAAAATTACTGGATGCCAATTTTATTGTATAAATCAATTGAGTCAAATTTTGAGTTCAAAGCATTGATTAAATATAACTTATTAATGAATTTAAAACTTAATTCAATTAGTTAATATGTTAAGATGATATTTAGTAGATTTGAATCTTAACACTTACAATATCTATGTTTCTCTCAAGATTGCTACCTCTTTTTAAAAAAAACCTATTAATGTACTAATTCTCTTGCCTGAACTGCATCCACAGCATAAAAATCATAACACAAAAATGCAATTGACATACACAGGGTTAAGATTGTGTTGCATGGAATCTGTAATGTGAGCTGATTTGACATGAGGAACGTTTCCAGTTGCATTGATTAGCGAGTTGACCTTGTCGATCTCGCTTATGAGATTAGGAGGTAGAAAATGTTGGTTCAAATCGATATTCTTGGCGGAGGAAAGATAATTGTATACGCTTATAAGATTATTGACGATACGTGTTCCTTGATTCACAATGTACTTTGTTGCACCATTTACGCTGCCCTGGAATCTTCCCACTCCAGTGTTCATTATAGCACATCCAATGCTGAAAATGAAACAGGTAAGTTAGATCACGGTGCAAACTTGATAATTTAAAACACGAAATAATATCACAACATGAAAATGATATAAAAATATATATAATAGTGGTCCGGGTTAAAATTTTGATAAAAAAATTAATTTAACAAAAACAAAAAATATATATTTCATTTTTTATTATGACAGCAATTTTATATAAAATGCTACACCTACATATGCACAAATTGCCTGTCTGTTTTACATGAGATGAGTATATGATTTTTAGATCTATCATGGAAACAGATCCGAAAACGTAAACTATTTCTAAGCATAGAAATAAAGGGCAGAATATTGGAGGACTTACATTGCAGCAATGGTGAAAAGTATGAGAAAGATGAGAGAAAATGCATAAGCGAGTCGAGAATAACCATAGGGCTTTTTGCGGCGGCAGAAGCAGCAACAAATACAAGCACATAACAGAAATAGACCAAACAGCACGAACCAGACTAATGCAATGGCGGCGAAAGGAGCAGAACTATAAGCAACAGACTGCAAACACAATGGTGGAGCTGTACTTTTAATAACTCATCGTTGAAGTTTAGCAAATATAGCAAATGCAAGCATGAAACCGAGAACTAAAGCAATTTAGGGGACACAAGTTTAGAAATTGGCATTACTTTTGGTCCTGTAAAAGAAGGCATTTACTTTTACATATTCAATTTCAAATCTGCAATTGGATTAGATCTATAAGTTACTTTTAACTCAATGAAAATAATATTGACGAAATAAAGAATTTGAGTTCCAGTTTCCATTTAAATAGGAATCAATGAAAAAAGATTGCATTTTAGTTAATTCTATCAACACAAACCCTACCGTAGGTTACCATAAGAACCATTGGACTCCAAATTGACTTCTATTGATTTTTTTTAGTTAATTTATGTTTAAATTATGGAAATTTTCTGCCATTTTTATCTGCTTCAGACAACCGATCGAATTGAATACAATTAGATTCCTTTACTATAATAATTTCTTGTTGCCAACAATTGAAACAAGTTCAGTTGAATTTCTTAAACCGTCCTCCAATTTTTTTTGAGAGAAAACTTTCTTGGGATTTATGGTTTCAGATACTAAAAAAGAAAAACAAAGTTTTGGGGATGGACTATTTCTGATGAAAATTTAGCTTCAGATACTTAACTGGGCTTGTAATTGGTTAGATATTAAACTATCTAAACCATTTCAGATGAGACATGGCAGAAACTCGTGATTGAAGAACAAATAACATCTTTTATCTACCATAAAGTTCCACGAAAAATAATTATGAAAAAGATAAAGAGGCAAGAAATCAAGCAATGGGGCATAGAAATCTTACAGCCTGGTAATGTATGTTAGTAATATTCCATCCACCTGTATAATAATTAAAATGGTCTAGAGGATCCTTCCTATATGTCTCTTTCTCAGCTAATATGAAACTTCTATTTCCTGGTCTACCTTCATCCAATTTTTCCTTCAACCCCATAATTCCTGAAAGAGAAAAAATAAAAAAAGACACAAAATTAACGTTCTTGATGATCAGAAACAACAGCAATCATACCTGGAGAATTACCATGGGATGGCAGATCAACATTCTCATTCTGTCCATGAGAAAGTGAACAGAAGGTTGATAAAATGAGAAACAGAAAAAATAGCTTCAATTTCATAGGCATATTCATTATTCTTTCATGCAATTTTTTTTTTCCTTTTGCAATCTCTGGGTTTGATCTTCCCCTTCTGAATCAAAGGGTTTAGGCATGTATAGAAATCTATGGCTTTTCAAACTGTTAAATTAAATGTTTGTTTCGGGTGTGCATTTTCCAAAAACACGTATTTGCTTTTTTTTGCACGTCTATATTTGTCTTCAAATTGCTATTATCAGTTGTATTAGTAGCTTTTTGGGCATCTTATAATTGCTATAAAAGCAGCATATTTTAACTATTTGATCAAATTATCCAACTAAAGGAATTTATTTAATGGAAAATTATCAAAACCAAATTAATTAAACTGATTTGATCAAATTCAATGGCATAGATCAATCAAATTGGTTTAAATGGACATATGCTCACCTTATCTATAAGGTCTACTTACATATAATTCTATGTGGATAACTTATATTATTAACACGTAGGATAATTCTAAATAATTTTACTCAATCAATTATTTAAATTTTAAAAATTTTAAAGTTTCAAAAATTACATCTATCCAAATCTTTCAAAATATATAAGTTTTTATCCTAGTTTAGATCCGAAAAAACAAATCTTATATCTCACTTTTATCCGTATGTATGAAATATAAAATTTAAATAGTTTATTTTTTGATATTTACTATTTTGATTTAATTTTTACTTTTGATATGTTAAACAAATCCCTTTTATCTTATTGTTTATAATTTATTAACATTCTCTTATATTTGAAATTAATGGAAAAATATTAAATAAAAAATTAAATCTTTTTTAATTAAAAATTATAAAAGAACAAATTACTTTTTTAATTTTAAATGTTTTCTTACCAAATCATCTCTAAGAATTTAGGTATGATAATATTGTTTATTATATGAAATATAGATCATTTTAGACCAATTGAACCTTAGAAAGTTGGCTAAATAAATTTATTTCAATTAATCTAATTAAACTAAATTCATATTGCATGTATTTTTAATTCACTACTATATTATGACCAAATTATTCACAATTTTATCTAATAATTAAAATCATAAATCTTGATGTAAGTCTACAATCATATTACAAGATAGTATATTTCTTCTTAAAAAAAACATTTATTATATAATAATTTAAAATATAAGCATGTAATCATAATTCATACGCTTTTTTTTTTATTTTAGACTTTAAATATTATTTATGTTGGTATTGAAATGTTAAATTTAATTATTAATATTGTGAATTTATTTGATTTTTATAAACAATTTTGAATTCAAAATCATATAAATAATAATTTTTACCGCCATTAATTGGATGGTAAATCCTAATTATTATGCTATTTTACTTTTATTTTCATTGATTAAATTAAAATTTATAAATTTACTACCCAAAAATTTTTTTAAAAAATTAAGATTTTCAACCTACAAATAATATGTTACAAATGTAAATCTTAATTTTCACACTAAAATAATATATACCTTTAAAAGTGTATTTAATTATGATAAAGAGATTAATTTTCTCATTGAGTTTTGTATGCAATTTTATTTTCATAATTCAAAGAAATTTTATTAAAATTATTTTTTTAAATACTTGCATAATACTTATTTGAATTATTTTATAATCATTTATATAAGACAGTTTTTGTAATTTTTGACTACTAGGAATATGTTCATTTATCTTTATATATAATATAAAAATTAATAAAAATTTAAAATTTAAATTATGAAAAATATAATAAAAAGCAAAAAAAAAAAAAAAACTTAGATTTTCATATTTTAGTTTTTCTAATAAACAAGGAAAGAAGGAAAGGACAACAACAAGCAAACAATCTCGTGACTAGAGGTATAAATAATACATTAGTATTCGTAAGTTATTTGAGTTCGATTCGAAGAAAATTCGAATTCGTTTTGATTATTATTGAGTGGAGCTAAAATAGTTCGACTTTTCGATCGAGTCGAATTCGAGTATTTTTATATCCGACTCGAGTAGTTCGCGAGCTTAATCGAATTTTAATATTTAAATATATTTTTATTATTTTAATTAATAAAATATTTCGAGCCCGAGTTCGAGTTCAAGTATGAATAATCGAACTCTTGTTGAGTATACGAATCAAGTTTATTTTTACATATTAATTGAGTTTAATCAAGCGAGCTCGAGTAACTCGAATTCAATCATGAAAGCTCGAGTTTGAAAAATAAAATTCGATCGAATTTGAACCAAATATCGAACCTCGAATTATAAGTCGAACTCGAATTCGAACTCAAACTTCCCACTATTCGACTCAATTTTACTCAATTACACTCTGTACTCGGTGACGACCAAACTGTCTAAATCTGTATACTGTACACTCAAAATCGGCCGCTCTGCAACAGAGATCTGTTTACTCTTATTTTTGCTTTTCTTTCTCCACAAATGGCGGCTTCTATTCAGCTAAATTTCCGCTCCATCAAACCTCATTTCATTCTAAAACCCGTTGCCAAAGCGTTCCCCAAACCGAGCAGGATCAGGTGCGCTGCCGCCACACCAACCAATCTATTTTCGTGTTTATTTGGTTTTTGTTTGGCTACTAAAAAAGCGAATCAAAATAACCAAAATGAAGAAGCCAATAATTATGGTATTGTATTATTATTTTATGTTTGGTTGTTGCTTTAGAATTAATATTTTTGAAAAATTCAAAATTTAATTAATAATTATGTTGGAATGTGTCCTACTAAATTTTAATTATTTATTAATTGTAATCAAGAATGATTTTGTTATTGCGGAAGTGTTAGTGGTACGATTGTTTGCAGATGTGGTAATGTGAAATTCTTGATAAAATAAGGAATTTAAACTGTGAAATGGACTGAGACAATGAAATCTAAACAAAAGATTACTGATAACACAAAACCCTTAAAATTACATTTAAATTGTTGTAGATGTATGGCAGTAAAAGTAATTGAGTCTATGTGCTGGCCACGAACAATGAAAGGATTTAGAGTTTTAAATATATATAATATAGATTAAAGTTGATTTTTAGTTGATATATTTCTTTTATGATGTTTAGATTTATTGGATACGTTACTGAAGAATTACGATATTGATGTTTTACTTACCCTCTGCCCTCATCTATTCTCATTCATGATAAAATAGAGGCCAAAATAAAGGACTAAATGTGTATGTTTTTCACAAATATACTCCTAATTAAGTTGCTTAATTTTAATTTTTTTCTGTCCTAAAGTTTCATAATTCATTTTTTTTTATGAAGAAATGATTTATATTTCATATAATGAACTTTCTTTATTGCTACATACGTTTTGGCATGGATTAGGGATTGAATTTAGCTTCCAAGAGATGCCCCTGGGCGGAGCTGCTTTGGATTTGACTGGAGTTCCCTTGCCAGAGGAAACCCTTTCAGCAGCACAAAAGGCTGATGCCGTTCTCCTTGGAGCAATCGGAGGGTATTCCTGTGTATAATTGTTTATCAATTATTTTCTGCTCTTTCTTGGGCCTTCTCTTCTTATGACAATTTTTCCATTCAACTAACTTATTACTTCATTTGGCTTCTAGGTATAAGTGGTATAAAAATGAAAGACACTTGAAGCCAGAGATCGGTCTACTTCAACTTAGAGAAGGGCTTAAAGTTTTGCAAATTTGAGGCCAGCTACTGTTTTACCACAGGTGATGGTGTTTTAGTTGATTTTTCTGAAATTTTCTTTATTTTTCAACTACTTAATCACTTCATTTCTTTTGCACTCTTAATGAGTTTAATGAATTTTTGGAATTAGATAAAACTTGCATTTATCCATAACAAAAATTCTTTGCATGTATGATGCAGTGTGGATATTGCTTTTGCTGAAATTCCCTCCATTTACCTTCTATTTTTTGGCCTGTGTATGTAAAGATTTTCTCATTTACATGAGCTAGCTTGAACTGATGTAAATGTTTCTATGTGTTTTCCATATGCTCTTTTCAGTGTAGTTTGGGGGGTAGGACATTTAACTTAAATAGTTGGCAGTTTATGTGGAAACTTGCTGCTTTAGTGATTTTGTATAAGTGGCCTCACCTTCAATTGTTTCGAAAGTGGTTATTTGTAAGGCAAGTCTCTGACATTAGTTATGCGTTTTCTTTTCTGAAGGTGTATAAGTTAGTAGCATATGATTTGGACTATTCCTTAGCCAAGTAACGATTATTATCATTTGAAAGGGTCGTCTTCAACAGTTGATCTACTAGATTTCGTGAGTTCATCATACTTTTAGGGTGGAGGGACATGAGTGCTGAAGCTATTGTAATTGTTTTATTCTCTGCTTTTGGACAGTGCAGAATGAGCTGCTTAATTCCAAGAAGAAAAAAAAACTCATTCTAATTTGTATGCACGCACACATGCATACATGGTAGTACATGTAGCTAGCATTTCTTTTATTTCAAATCTGTGGTTGATGAAAATCTTCTTCTATGTTATTTGCTATTTCAGTTAGTGGACTCTTCAACTTTGAAGAAAGATGTTGCTGAGGGTGTTGACCTTATGGTGGTAAGGGAGCTTACTGGAGGTCATTATGCCCTTTTCTTCCATTCTCTCTGTTGCTCCATCTATTTTCTATGTCAATAATCAGCATTGATCTTATAATGAAATCAGGTATTTATTTTGGAAAACCAAGGGGATTTGGTATTAATGAAAAGGGTGAGGATATTGGCTTCAACACTGAGGTGTATGCTACTCATGAGGTAGTTGTTCACTCACGATTGCTCTTTTTAATTGTCCAATTCTTTATCTACTTTTTTGAAACAAGTTATATATCTCCCAGCTGTGGTGTCTTGAGTTGATGATTTGGAAGATCAAGTGAAACAGCATTCTTTCAAATACAAATTGAATGATGAATGGATGCATAATTAAAGAATTATGATTGTTTAGTGAAGATAATCTTAAATGTTCATAGTCTTTAAGGACTTTATAGATAATTCTTCTTGTATGTGTTTCTTTTTTCTTTTCGTTTTCTTTCCCAAATAATATTTCTGGATATTTGATTGGATTCAAATATATGCTTAATGGAATGGTTTGATGAAATGCTTGTATACATACACCTTTTTGTATAGTGCATCACCTGACTGAAATAAAAGAATTCAAATTCTG